TTTGAATTTCTAAACAATTCAGTGATAATTCCTTCAAGTTTGTCAAATATACTTTATGTTATTTTCTGTTTTAGTTTATTTTCTATTTTTTCTTCATTTTTTCCTCATTCCAAAATTCAAGTAGACTCTTCAATGATTGTGTTAATTAATTTTCTGTATTAATGCCTACAACATTTTCAGCACTTGTAATATGATGCTATGTAAAATCTATCATGATCACTATTTTGTGTTATGCACAATATGTATTGATTTTTCATTGTTTTTTTTGGGTAAAAAAATTTATTTACTAGCTTGAAATGTCTTTAAGTTTTTTATCAAAATAAAATGTCCTTGTCAAATAGCATTCTAAAAAAGAAATTTTAACCCTCCCACCAAGTAAGCAAAATAAATAGAATTTTTAGCAGGGCATAAATGGATAAATGGATATACTCGTACTCATTTATAAATTGTCCATTGTGACTCATTTATTAAATGAGAATATGGATTTACTCAACTATACCTATTAGCAAATTATGACTCCCAAAACACCTATTTTAACACCTCTACTCATAAAACATGATCGATCAACTGAAGAAAAGTATGAACTGATATCCGTGACAAGAATTAGCCACAATTTTCAAACACTAATCGGAGTGTGACAAATATGACTCATCAACAGCACATCTACAATGTCTCAACCGTTAGCATACTTTTTGTCGCAAAATAGTTTCCAGATAGTACAAACAGGATCTCATACATCTGTCATCTTCTCAATTATCTTAAGTTCCTTTCCATACTAACTCCGTGCTTTTTTTTTTTTTTGTCGAAACGTTAGCTTTATAGAAGTATTAAAGAGTTTACAATATTTGGACAAAGGTCCAATCATCAGGACAATAGTCCTATCAAAACATTAGTGCCTAGCACCTTAAGTTGGGATTCACCCATTCCTCATCTACAAGGATGTTTAGAGCATGCATGCTCAACTTGACACTTCCTACAAATCCAGATTCAACAAAAGAGAAAGAACACTTTTGGAACAGATTACTTATGTGCTGTATATCCTCTACCAGAGTAGCCATCTGTTGGTTGCTAGTTCTTGTTTGTGTTATGCACTCAACCAGCTCCCTATCTTCCAGCTCCACTTTTATACTCGTCCAGCCTTGATTGATTGCATTCAGTAGTGCCAACCTCACCGCACCAGCTTGGTCTTGCTTTGTGTCTCGAGTCATTCTTTCCCTTAATGCCCAGATTGCTTGTAGACTACCTGCCGAGTCAGTAGCAGTGATTCCAATCCCCACCATTTGTTGCCTTCTGTCCTGGTGAGCGTGGACCTTGATTATCAGCCTGGCTTGGTTCTCTATCTGGCTTTGGTCTTGCACATCACGTTCCAGTATTTCTGTTCCCTGGTTGTTCTTCCTCGTCTCCTTCCCTCTGTTGGCCTCATCAAATTCCATCCATCCTTCACCGCCTTTTGTATTACCTTATGGGTTCTTTTCCTTGTTTTCAAACTCCCTCTCGTTTCTGGCCTTCCAAATCTGCCAGAGAATATATTATAGTAAGGTTCACTTGGTCCTCCCCTCCTCTCTCTTCTTGAGCTTCCATGATTGCAGACCACCATTTGATGAAGCAGTTTGATGTATGATGTATTCCATCCCATTGTACAGGCGATAGCTTCCATACTTCCTTTACTTTGTTGCATTGGAGCAGCAGGTGTTCTATTGTTTCTTCCTCTTCTCCACACGCTGCACATTTAGGATCTCCTTGCCTTGTTCGTCTGTGAATTTCACCTCTTACTGGGAGACCTCCATGCAGACATTTCCATATAAATACTTTCATTTTTTGGCACACTTTCTGCTTCCATAGAGATTTCCAAGCTCTCGTGATAGATCCTTCATAGCTTGTCCCTGCATCATCCCTCCTTCTTATACTCTCTAGTTCCTTTTCCTTCATCCATTTCTTATATCCAGATTGAGTAGTATATTGACCATTTTGGGAGTGTATCCAATAGTGACCATCTTCCTTCCCTGTGAAGCTTATAGGTATCCTCAATATTTTTTCAGCATCTTGTTGGCTGAAGATTCTGAATATCAAAACAGCATTCCATCTGTTGTTGACAATAAGATTTGACACATGCTGTAATTGACACCCCAGTGGCTTTGGTGTTGTTGGCTTCCCACTTTTGCTGTCTGGAATCCAACAGTCTTCCCAGATTCTTGTTGCCTTGCCATTTCCTATCTTCCTCATGACACCATTCTGTATTTCTCTTCGCACATCAGCTAAGCTCTGCCAAATCCAGGAGGTATTTTGAGGGACTTTGCTGGTGAATAAGGATTGCCTGGGGTAGTATTTTTCCTTAAGGACTCTACTGACTAGCAAGTTTGGTTGTGTTAACAACTTCCAAACTTGCTTGCCCAGTAAAGCCCTATTGAATCCTTGCAAGTTTTTGAATCCCATGCCGCCCTTACTTCTAGATTCTGTCATCTTTCTCCAGCCAATCCAATGCATCCTTTTCTTTCCTTCTGTCTCCCCCCACCAATAGTCTGCCATTTTTGCACTAATGTCTCTGCACATCTTAGAGCTCGGTCTGAAGCATGACATGGTGTAGGTTGGCATAGCCATAGCTACTGCTTCAAGCATGACTTCTTTCCCTGCCTGGCTTAGCAACTTGTTTTTCCAGCTCTGCAGCTTCTTATCAATGGCATTCCGTATGTACCCAAATACCTGCCCTTTGGATCTTGTTATAATCATGGGGAGGCCTAGGTATTGACCCTGTTCTACCTGCTGAATGGATCCCATAGATTGGCAGACTTCCTCTCTTGCAGCTTGGGTTGTGTTTTTACTGAAGAATACTGAAGATTTATCCATGTTGATAAGCTGCCCCGTTGCCTTTTCATACACCTTAAGAGTGGCCATTAACTTCCCAGCTTCCTGTCCATTAGCTCTGCAGAAAACTAGAGAGTCATCAGCAAAAAACAAATGAGTTATTGCTGGTGCCCCTCTACTGATTCTTATACCTGTTAACTGCTTCCCCAACTTAGCTTTCTGTAGCAGATTAGACAACCCTTCTGAGCACAATAGAAACAGATATGGAGAGAGAGGGTCACCTTGCCTTATTCCTCTGGTTGGGGTTATGAACTCCTTCTGATCTCCATTTATGTTGAAAGAGTAGGTGACTGAGCTAATACAGGCTATAATCCATCTTATCCACTTGGAGCAGAATCCCATTCTTTCCATTATCACTATCAAGAAATCCCACTCCACCCTATCGTAGGCCTTTGACATGTCTAGTTTCACTGCCATCATCCCATCTCTCCCTTGTCTTTTGTTTTTCAAAAAATGCAGCAATTCATGGGAAAGGATGACATTATCTATGATTTGCCTACCTGGAACGAATGCAGATTGATTTTTGCTAATGCATTTAGAAAGGAAAGGTTTTAGTCTATTGACCAGAATTTTTGCAAGAGCTTTGTAGACTACTTGGCATAAGCTGATAGGTCTGAATTGTTTGATCTCTGTAGGGCAGTCTACTTTTGGAATCAAGGATATGATTGTGTGGTTAATGGCTTTAAGAATAGCATTATTATGAAAGAATCCTTGAATTGCACTTACCAAGTCCTGCTTAATTATGCTCCAGAATTTTTGAAAGAAAAGCGGAGACATGCCATCACTTCCAGGAGCCTTGTTAGGTTCCATAGAGAAGAAGGCAGTCTTGATTTCCTCTTCCTCAACTTCTTTGGTCAAATCTCTATTCATTTGCTCAGTTATAGATACAGGGATCCCCACTAAGATATCATCAGGCACCTCCGCCCCTGAACTCTTAAACAGCTCTCCATAATATTCAGCAATTTCCTTTCCCAGTTCTTCATCAGTAGTAGTCCACTCCCCACAAGATTTCTTCAGCTTCTGGATTCTGTTCCTTCTCCTCCTTCCTTTAACTGTTGCATGAAAATATTGGGTGTTTTTATCCCCCTCTTTTAGCCATCTCAATCTGGATTTCTGATTCCAATAGGCCTCTTCATTATCATAAGGCACTTTCAATTGTTCTTTCATTTCCTGAATCCTTGGCCTTTTGTTTTCAGTCTCTGATGCCTTAATTGCCTCAATCTGGTCTTTACACCAATTGATTCTTTCAACAGAGTTCCCTTTCTTATTGTTGCTCCATTTAAGTAGCTCAATCCTACAGCTCTTGATTTTCTCCTTCACCTTGAACCATTTTGTTCCCTCGCACTGGATACCCCAAGCCTTTTTTACCACCTCCACAATATCCTCATGCTGTAACCATCTTTTGTCAAACTGGAATCTTTTTTTCCATCTCTTTCTTTCCTTCTCGGTTTCAAGCAACAACATGCTATGGTCTGAAGCAATCGAATCAATGTGTATACACTTTGCATCCTCATAGCATTGAGACCATTTCATGGTACATAGGCCTCTATCCAGTCGCTCTTTGATTTCTCCATTCTCATACCAATTGTTGCTCCAAGTCCATGGCTTTCCTTGATACCCAACATCCAGCAACTGGTTCTCATTTATGAACTTCCGGAAGTCCTGAAAACTTCTATTGTCCCTCCTCCTTCCACCCCATTTTTCCTCATTTGATGTGATATCATTGAAGTCACCTATTATAATCCACTTATCCCCCCAGCCAACTTTCCTTCTATTCAGCACTTCCCACTGACCTCGTCTCACTTGATTATCACAGCTTGCATAGATTCCAATCAACCACCAACATTCTTTTTTCTCTTCATCCTCCACTTTCACCTCAATTGTAAAGGCCGTACCTTGTATTTCCAAAACTTTGACTTCATTCTTCCACAGGAGAGCCATCCCACCACTCCTATTCATAGCCTCTATTACAAAACTATTGTCAAAGTTCAAAATTTTTTTTACTTTTTCCATATACCTCTTTCTGTTTTTTGTTTCACAAAGAAAGATGATAGTAGGGGAGAGGAGTCTATTTTCCTCCTTCAGATGGGGAACTGTCAAGGGGCTCCCTGCACCTTGACAGTTCCACACCAGAGCTCTCATTGGAGGTTGAGAGACCAAGATGGGCTGGTCTCTTCCCCCCTCAGTGTCTGATCAGAATGTTCCATCTCATCTGAGCCTTTGTATCGTTTTCTAGCCTGCTCGTTATGCTCCATATCCAGCATTTCCTCATCAATTATCTGCAGCTTCCTTTTAGCATTACCTCCTTTTTTGGATTCCATGTTCTGAATATCACATAGAGGTTGCCTCTCTCTGTCACTCATTTTGTTCCTAATTCTTACTTTCCTCACCCTGCTTACTCCATTTTCTATATTCTGACATTGTTCTTCCTCATCCACCAGCATATCCATAGTTTTATCTTCCTTTTCCTCCATGCTCCTCTCCAGATTCCTAATACAAGGTTCTCCTAATGTTACCAGAGACCCTACTGCTTGGACCATACTCCCCAACTCACACTCTATTGAGCCAGATTCCAGATTACTTACATTGTTTATCCTTTCGGTTTCTTTTTTGTGCATATCTGTCACCTGAGCATCTAGGAGCTCCTCATCTCCCTCATCTGGTTCCTGAGCCCTGCTTACCTGCCTATCATTATGATCCTCTACTGTGAAGGCATTCTGGACCAAAGCCATGCTTTTAGCACTCTCAGTTCTGGTAGGCTTGGTCCCCTGTTCTTCTTTCTTACCATTGCTCCTCTTAATCCACTCCCCATTTTGAAACCCCAAACCTGCCTATCCGGATTATATGAACTGGGATTACTCTCCTTTTGTGGTGATCCTCTCCCATTATGTGCACGTAGCCAGGGACCATATTGGTTCTCCTGTTGCCCCTTCTTAATGTTCACTTCATTCTTACATTTCTTCTCACTGTGACCAATAATTCTGCACTTGTAGCAGAAATCAGGTACTCTTTCATACCTGAAGTTAATCCATTTTAGTACCCCATTCATCTTGACTGCTGTTCCACGTAGTAGAGGCTGGGTCATGTCAGCCCACACTAGCATCTTTAAGTGCTTCCCTTCCTTCCCTCCTGTGTGGGAAATTAGAACTTCCTTTACCTCTTTAAAACTTTCCCTATCTTTTTCCCAGCCTCTTTCGAGATCCAGTGGATTGGCAAATTCCATACTTGTACCCAGAGAGTGCCAAATCTAAATGCCTCAGTATTTTCCTCAATTCCAGCCTGCCATCTATTCAGCACTAGAATCTGACTGTCTATCAACCAAGGTCCACCGTTTAGTATCCTCAGTCTGTTATCCTCTTCTGGAATGAAGAATTGAAATAAGTTAGGACCTAGCTCCGCTACTTCCAGATTTTTTGGGTAACCCCACGCTGCAGTCACGAAGTTCTTGACTCCTGTGAAATTTGCAACTTTTTCTCCTCTAATCTTCCCAATGATGCTATTTTCACACTCAGTTATCCCCGGATTTATATCATCCATGTCCAACCATGCTCCATTCTGCTCTAGATTAGATAAAGCAAACTTCTTTAAAACTTCCTCCAGTTCATCAGCCATGGTGCCCAGTAGATCTTAGTAGGATACCTCTATTTATTTAAAGAAGCAAATGCTAGAGCCTGACTAAAGCAGTAGGAAGAGAAAAACCGACTACAATCTTCACTAGGTAAGTGCACAACCAGGTAGGCAAAAACAGAAAGAAAACCACCTAATTATGCAGATGCAGATGCAGAAAAATAAAAGACTTAAAAGAGCAGATAACGGCAGTGAAAACTTGGCCATATAGACCTCTCACCTACGCCTGCTGTGGGTTTATGAGTAAATGCTGCTTTTGTAGTCCAGCAAACCGGCTAAACCTGCCTTCTGGTCTCTAGACCTTGCTTTGAGTGTTCATAAATGTCTCCCCTTTACTATACCTTTGCTCCTTCAAGACCTCCCAACTATCCTATTTCTACTAAGGATATGTTGCTATAGATCTGGTGTTTGATTCAGAATTCAGAACTGGTGTTGTGTAGTATTCAGCAATTTTCTTAGTTTGAGAAAAATGCGGATGCAAATTCGGCGGGCTTTTTACTTTGAAATTCCAATCTCCCACTCACAGGAGAGAACGCTCTCAGGTTAGAGAGAGAAAGCTCTCAGAAGAGAGATTGGTCCATACTAACTCCGTCCTCAATGGAAAGAGTCATAAAGTGTAATTAATTGTTAAGCACCTATCCTACAAGGATATGGAGTTACCATTCACCGTACGGGGAATATTGGAAACAGATGCACCGTATGTACATAATGGAACTCCTAAACACCAAAAGTGTTCATTCACTTTTCAGCATTATGCAGGACGAAATGTCTCCAGTTTGCCCAGTTCAATTGAGTCCCTTTCAGGGAAGCCAATTATTCTTGGCGAATTGGTCTTACAGTACTTGAATGCCACTATAAGCAGAGCTACAGTTGGGAGAACTTGCCAAGACAAAGAGGAGCTGATAATGACAGCCAAAGAAGCTGCATCACTTGCTGGAGGATTTTTTGACTTCTCAGTGGAGTAAAGCCGAAACTGGAAAAACTGTGTATAACACTTGACGATATCCTGGAGGATACATCAGTAACCATGAAATGAACAAGCTTATAGCCAAGCTGACAACGAAAACATCGCAGAGGAAGATATTCTTGATGTTCTGTTAAGGCTTAAGCAGAGTAATGCCTTTCAGTTCCCTATCACAATAAAAAATATCAAAGCCATCATTTTTGTAAGAATGCTGGAACCATACATCATCTCTTAGTCTTCTCTATACTTGTTTAATTATTCACATTCAAATTTCCATTTCAGAATTTTTTTTTTTGTTCATTTTCCTTTTCTATAGTATACTTGTGTTACAAGCATGGTTCGAAGTCTCGGCCGAGACCGAGACGACTCGGCCGAGTCGTCACCGTCTCGGCCCCTACCGATACGATACCGTGACGAAATGATAGCGAGATACTTGACTCGCCGAGAAATCGGCCGAGACGTCACCGCGACGGATTGACTCGGCCGAGTCACACCGAGTCACACCGAGTTATCCCGAGTCAAGACGAGAAATTAGCCGAGTTACACCGTGACGGATTGACTCGGCCATTTCTTTTGCTATTTTTTATTATTTTTGTTTAGCATACTTTTTTATATTATTAACAATTTTTAGAATATTAAATACTTTAAAATTTGCGTCTCACCGAAACCGCGACCGATATGTCGAGACCGATGTGGAACATTCCGGGCCGCGACCGTGACCGCGACCACGACTTTGAACCATGGTTACAAGTATATAACATGTGGTCTAGTGAATTGTTTTACTGAACAGGAATTGTCCGTGGGTGGGACTGTAACCTTGTCAGTCATGCTAGAATGGGCAATATCTGAAATGATGAAGTATCCAAAACTTATGGCCAAGTCTCAAGATGAAGTTAGACAAGTTGTCAAGGGAAAGAAGAGAATCAGAGAAAACGAACTCTAGGAGTATCTAAAATGGTAATAAAAGGAACTCTCAGGTTGCACCCTCCAGGACCTCTGTTGGCCCCAAGAGAAAGTAGAGAACAATGTCAAATTGCTGGTTATACTATACCAGTTAATACAGTAACTCTGGTAAATGCGTGGACAATTGAAACAGATCCCGAGTACTAGAAAGAGCCAAAGAAGTTTGAGCCGGAGAGATTCAACACTAATTGATTTTACTGGAAACAGTTTCAAGCTCATACCATTTGGTGCTGGAAAAAGGACGTTTCTAGGAATAAACTTTGGTGTAGCCAATATAGAGCTTCTGCTTGCCCATTTTCTCTACCACTTTGACGGGAAACTGCCTGGAGGGATTACATGACTGAGAAGTTTGGTGCTTCAGCAATAAGGAAAAAAGAGTTGCGCCTGCTGACAAAAATCCATGTTCCATTCGATTGATGGCTATAAAATCGGAAATGATATCTTGTGATTGCAGGAAATTTAGTGTTAAAGTATGTAATATTATAATATTTGAACAGAAAAGGTTTGCTATTTGAGCTGGCAAATGATCTGGTTAACATATGCGACTGCTGCGTTGTCTTTGATACTTCCTCGTTCAGAATTTACTTGTCATGATCAACTTTGCACATACTTTAAAACTTCTATTGTTTGACCAATCAGTGATAACTCTTTCCATGACTACCTGTTCATTTAAATTCAATTTACTTTTCATGGTCAACTTTGCACACAATTTAAGCCTTTTGTTGTTTGACCAATCAGTGATATCTCTTTCCATAAATACCCTTCATTTAAATTCAAATTTTGTTATTGTTTTTAAATTTTTGAATTATACAATGGATAGTTAGAGCAATTAATTTTAAGACATGACTTTAATGCACTTTTTAAAAATTGAAAGAAGGGTAAAATGGAGAGGTTATTCTTTTTCACTTCTCCTTTGTTTTTTCATTTTCAATTGAAGCTTTCAACAATCAGTAAAAGATTACTTATATGATTTATAGGTGACTTATATAACTTGCATTCTACTGGATAATTCAGGCATATACAATAGCTAGAAAGTAATTATCTGGTAATTACAACAAAATACAAATTTTATTGAAATTTTGAAACTTTGGAGAAAATGATCAATTTCGTCATCCATCTTAAAAAAACAATTCCTCGCATTTAGAATTATAAAAACCATTTTCAAAACTTTGGGATGTCAATTGAGTTTTTTGAGTTGGGTTTTGGCAAGCCAGACTCAACTCACAAATTATATTGATTCTTGGGTTTTGGCCTTAAATTAAAAGATTCAAACTTCAATTTTACACTATTATATGAGTTTCGTACTCAAATCGGGTTTGACCCAAACTCATAACTAAATACATTTTCTTACAATGTAAGTAGAAGGAATCGAAGTCGAACACAAGGTCTCTCACTTACATCCTCTCTCCCAAGAACCACCCAACTATATATACACCAAATTATATATAATATATATTTTATAATTATGAATTACTATAAATTTATATATAATTTATAATTATAAATAAATTTATATATAATTTATAATTATAAATATTTGGTTATAATTATTAATTATATATAAATTTATAGTAATTCATAATTATAAAATATATATTATATAATTCTATATTTTATATATACATATATATATAATTATACTTATGTATGGGTTGGGCTTTAATTAGGCCTATGCCTAGCATGTCCTAAGCCCAATTCGCATTTAGTTCGGACATAATATTTAACTCCAAACTCCACCCAACCTAATTAAAGTTTAGGCTCAATGGACCTTTTTGGGCCGAAACTTCAAGAACTTTCCAATTTCATCTTAAAATCTAATTCTGATCATTTTTCAAATTGAGAGTTGCATGCCTCAACTACATACATATTATTTCATGGGCTACATAAGAAGATAAAATATCTTTCCCTCCAAAATTAAGAGGACAAATGACCAATTTCGTCTTTCACATTTCAAATAATATTTTTGATCCCTACATAAAATTGATGCAACATCAAAGTGTGCCAGTTTCATCCCATAACAAAATTCCAATCAAGTTTCAAGCTGAGCATGCCTTAGCTAGGTGCATGGTATTTAAAGGGCTATTAAGCAATCAAATGATGAAAATCAAAGCAGGCAGGAAGATAAAACTCATTGGCTTACTAACTAAGACATATTTGCTTATTTAAAGCAACTTATGAAAAAAGGATTATTTGAAGGAAATATACTAATGCATCTCCTACAACAAGAACATCTTCATCTATGAACCTATTGAAATAATAGTTAATAAAACAAAAAAAATAACAACAATTAAACCATCAACAACAAGGATTGAACTATATTCAAAATCTTTGATTTTTTTGTCCTATTTTATCAAGGTTTTATCTTTTACCTCATCAACAGATTCACAACTGAACTTTTGAATTTTATTGGAGATGCATTACAATTTTGTTCTAAAAATTAAACATGTATTTATTAGTGAACCAATGAGATTTAGTTTGTCATTCACTATTGCTTTTATGATTTGGTTGAGTACTGGCTTGGGATATAATATGCATGTGGCTGGGGTGTGTCATTCTCAACCAAAAAGTGGATTTGAATTAAGTTTGGAGACAAAATTGATAAGTTCTTTTAAATGTAAGGGATGATTTTTCATCCATTTAAGTGTCATACAAAATAAACATTTTTTAAAATTGGAAGATCGGAATTAATAATTTACATGGAATTTATTTTATCTCTTATTTTGCACTTGACATAATATGCGTGTACATGTGCACATGCATACAAAGTATCTCTACCTATTATATAAGAAGAAAGTGGAGTTACTATAGCAACCCCAATAATTGTCAAGTAGATCTCCCTCATTTTGACTTGTGGCGCATTCCTTTTCTTTTTTTCATTTTGCTTTTTTTTTCTTTTGTTCACCTTATTTCCTTTCTCCTTTTTGGCTAAAAACAATTAAACAAATCCTCATACACACTGTAGGTTTCTTATTTAGTTTCCACTCTGTACACCTTTTCCTTTTTTCCCTCATCCTAATCATTTATTTTGTTTTTTTTCTCTATTGAATTAGTTGATGCA